CACTTGAGCACATTCATATCATTTCTAAGCTCATCTAGTGTAACATCGTGATTTTGACCATAATTTTTATTAAACACCCTTTTTAACAGAATACGTTAGCGGAAGACTTGGTTATTTCAAAACATTTTCAAATCACCACATTACTTCAAAATCAATTCATAATTCCAAACCATTTACAACATAACAAAAGTGAATGTTTAGTTTGATAAAACATCTAACGTGTCTGAAATGGTATCATCTAATTAAAATAACTATCCCATAAGCAACCCCTCTCACCAAGGCCAAACTTCTAAGATGCATGCACCAATTATAAGGCACAAGTGTCAGCCCCTGCTGAGTGAGTTCATAAGTGTTTCATAAAAGCATACATATCCCAAATGGGTCAATCATTCATTTTACGATGAAGCATAAATATGCAAAACAAATAGCACTTAGCAAACAACCACATATGACAATCGTTCAATCACATTTCATATAAACAAGATTTAATTATTTATACAACCTTTATTTAAATAACCAACATTTTATCATACATCCGACCTTTTGTTATACATCTAACATTCTGACAAACATTTTATTATATAATCAACCATTTATTATATAACCAACCAAATAGCAAGCAACATTCAACCTTATGTATCACAATTCATTTCAACCACTTACAAAACAACATTTCACCATATCATTTTAATTTCAATTCAATCCAATATAGTTATATATTTAATTCAACCGTTTATTGCATATAAAACAATTCACCGTTTATTATACGTAGTTCCATTCAATGATATTAATATACAAGCTCAATTCCACCGATTATAGTTATCAACTTAAAACAACCGATTATTACATATAATTTAATTCACCATTTATTATATGTAATTCCCTTCGACCGATTATCATATACAAGTTCAGTTCAACCGATTATTGCATATAGTCACCTGTCAACCGATTATCTACTTTGGGGTTTCTTAGCGACATGCTACCTAACAACTTAACCATGTTCACTACTCGTGTGCTCCACCAGGTTACTGCTCTAAGTGGCTCATGACTTCCATCCGAATTCACCAACCCCAAGACTTCCACTTTCGCTACCCTGACCTGAAAAGTACATGCACTTCATGGTGTCGTTCAGGATTGGTACAAACGGTGTCAATTCTACCGATACACCTCTTGATTCCCACATGATGCTTGATCCGACCACACCATAAAGCCAACATCACTTCAGTTCTCGTGCACCAGGGTACATGAGAACCATGTGTCACACGACCATCTAGAAAGACCGTGTAACTAATCACCGTTATGGCTTAAGCTCTTTGAACTGATTAAGCTTCCAAGGTTCTACCCATGACACCATTATACCCTACAAACAAACAACCATACATCAATGTACACATGTTACTCATACAACCTTAACGAGCATTGAAACATGTAATAAAATTCAGCATGTTATCACCACATTATGGCATATGTCTAACAATTCATTACAACTTTAATTCAAAATGAGTATGCTAGATGATCAACCAATTCACGCAATATAGCATGTAACAAAATGACATACCATCAATCAAGCATAACATATGACTATTGATTTCATTAGGCATAATCACCACAAGTAAATTCAACTAGCACATACCAAACATAGCATCATATCAAAAGATACCAAGGCATAACCATACACAATGTGAAAACAATAAGATTTACCAAACAAGCATTAAAAATTCTAGCATGATCCAACTTTGCATCAATAATCCACTTATACGATGTAGTTTTCGGTTATAAACTAAATTTAAGAATATTATCAACTCATACCAAAAAACTAATTTTTCATGTGCATCAAATTCACCAAACTGAAAAGCGTCATAGCAAATAAATCATAAAATGGTAATAGCACAAATCACATGGTAGCATCACAAATATCATATCAACATCATGCACAAGTAATGACTAGGTCACCCTAATGTGAATCAAATCACCATTTACGGAACGCATGTTTCAATTATGCACCTTAATGAGTTAAAACTATGAACTCACCTTTAGCCTTGATGAGACTCCCTTCAACTCCAAGTTTTGAACTTACTTGAAGTTCTAAAGACTTCACCTAAAAACCACACATAAGAAGCAATTAACAAATAAAGTACATGCTTCAAAAATACAACTGTAATACTAACTTATAAATATATATATATATATATATATATATATATATATATATATATATTTATTTATTTATAATTTCCTAGCCCGACCCCAGTTCAGTGTTTTAATCATAAAAAAGAATCCATAACACTGATTGAGCTGATTCTAGATTTTCTGAAAACTAGACTCGATTTCCTACAAATTTGTTCTTGTGGTGATTTTCTCTAATTCAGCTTAGAATCGCTTCTACAACCCTTGAAGACAGATTAACAATTATGTCTAGCTTTGCAAGTTTTTACCAACATCACCATAAAGCTCAAGATTAAGGAAAGGGACTTAGAATTATTCCATTTTGTACTAAACTAATATTGATTGAAGACATTAAGATATAATTTAGTACTACTGAAAATACTAGAGAGTTGACTAGAAGATGCTTGAAAGTATGATGCTAATAATCACACATCAATCTAACACCCATATCTTTTTCTACCAATTTAGAGTTAAATAGATTACACAACAAGATATATGGGCTGAATTTTAACCGAGACATGAGTGTCCTAAAGGCACAAGGAGTCGAAGCAGCGGTTTAAGTTAGTACCGCCGGTACCCCCGACACATGATACCCTCATGGACGGGTTCAGCAAGCTTTGTATAATAAATTCATTGAGTGGGTTCACGAACCCAAGACTTAGGTGTTGTTTTTTTTTCTGATACAAAATGTCTGCAGTCTGCGGACCACATCTGTAGACCTCTGCAGTAGAAGAGGTGGACCAAACGTCTGCAGTCTGAAAAAAGAAGACTGTTTGTTTTTTTAAACATCTGGGGCTACTAAAATAAACTGAAATCTAAATGAACTTAATTTTTTAAACTTCAAAGTGATTTTTTAATATTTTTATGACTTTGTTATAAATAATTAACAAATCCAGATCAACTTTTATCTATTATTGTATAAAAATAAAAATAAAAATGGTATGAATTAACGTATATATTTGATAAAAACCAACAACTTTGGTTGCAAAGTTATAACTAAACATTATAATTAGGGATCAAAGAATTTGATACATAAATGGATGGAAATAAACTTCGATTTTTTCAATTAAATCCATTAAAAACGTACCATAAATATTTTCTCGGGAAATTGACGATACTGTATTAAATAATGTTTTACAAAATTTGACAAAAAATATAAGAATATATTATGATTTTTTTTTTCATATTTATATAAACAACTTCAACGACTATTATTGTAATAAAACTTTATTTATAAATTTGTCAAAAATATCATGTTTGTATCGTCGAACGTTTTTTTTTAAGTTTTGTAATTTTTTTTCAAATTATTTATCATTAATAAAGTTGGAAAAAATATAAATAAAAAAAACTTAAAAAAATGAAGATATATGTGTTTTTTTAGAGCTAGAAGATGTCTGAAGATGTTAGAAGACTATGGTCCACATCTGCGCCAAGAAGAGGGCGCGCAGACATTTTTAGGTCTGCAGTCTTCAAAAAAACAAACAGTCTGCCAATGCTAATGTCTGCGCGGCGCAGACAGAAGAGACCACACAGATCTGCAGACAAAAAACAAACACCACCTTATTGTCAAAGTGTTGCTTTTCACTTTGACTGACAATAATTTCCCATACGTCCCTTTTTATCTACTTTTTTTTTTAATAAAACAAAAATAAATCGTACAATAAAATATAGACATTTAATGAATTTGACCTTATTTATACAGCTTTTGTAGGAATCTTTACATGATTTTTTTCCTTTTAAATAGACATTTAATGAAGTTGAGTAAAGTTTGTTGACTACAATTCAAGAAATAAACAATAAACAATATTAAATTTCCATGTAAATTTATTTGTTTTTTTTTACTCTTTTTGTCCTCCTGAATTTTAATCGCTTCCGGTACATTCCTTACTTTAATTTTGCATGCATGTACGTTGGTTTTTTTTTCATTTGTTTTTTTTTTGTTTTGTTTTGAATAAAACAAATAAACCATATCAAATTTGCAGCGTTATTCGATTCATTTAATTATGTGAATTTGACTTTGACTGTACAATGGCTTTGCAGGAAATCTTGAATAATTTTTTTTTTTGTTGTTTATATAAGATATATATTTCAAAATTGAACAAATATATAACCAATAGTATAAACAATATCAAATCTACCACTTCATTCAATCTTTTTAATTATCTTCAATGGATTCTCGAGGCCAAGCTAAATAAACCGGTTCTAGCCAAAGACACAAAGCCACACAAGGCGGTTCAAGTCAAGATATTCCATTTTTTTCTCAAGATTTTCAAAATTCAAACTATCAGCAATACCAAAACTATCAAAACTACCAACAAAACCAAAACTACCAACAACCATATTTCCCAGTGCAACAATCTTACAACACATTTAGGCTTCCTAAAGAAAATTAGAGTTATAATCCATGGAATCAGTTTTCTCAAAGGGTTCCAAAAACTCAATTCCAATCTTCTCAACCCGAGAATTTACTGTTTCGTGATGCTCAGAATGAAGAATCGGACAGTTTTAGTGACGACCCAGCTCCCGAAAGAGACGAAGAAAAAACCAACGAGGAGTTGTAACATGTTGCTGAGAAAAAACGCAATTATACACACCTCCAGAAGCGAAAGAACTGGGTGGAACGCGAAGAGTTGGCTTTAGCTAGGGCATATGTCGATGTTTCTAAAGATAAACAATGCGGAAATCAACAAAGGTTCGATGCATTTTAGGAGAGGGTTCTAGAGCATTTTAGTGTTCAAATGGGAGGTTCAGATCGGTCATGACACAAAGTAAACTCAAAATGGAATGACCTTCAAAAGAAATGTAATGCTTTCAACGGCATCTATAACCGTAACATGAATAGTGTGGCTAGCGGGAGATATGAGGCTGATGTTTTACAATCTTCACTAAGCGAGTATCGGAGGACTATTAACCAGAAAGGTTTTCCTCATCAACAAGCTTGGGAGTGGTTGAAAGACAACGCGAAATGGGCATTTGTTACAAAAGTGGGTGAAGACTCCCCGCCTCCTTCTTCAAAACGAACCAAAATATATTCATCCAACGCCTACACATCATCATCTGATCCACAATATCCTCCTGGATTCTCCCCCCAACAACAATAGTCGTTTAGTGTTGAAGACTCACCGCCTCAGAGAAAAATAAAAGGAAAGAAAGCGGCATCAACATCATCAACAGAAAATGAAATGTTTGATCTCGTCAAAGAAATTGTCGGCATCAAGACTGCAACCGAAAAAGAGGCAGAACAGAGACAACGGTACCGGGATGAAAAATTGCGCATTCTCGAAGCTAATGAAGAACGAAAAGCTCAACAGTTGGATCGGGAGATAGAGAACCAAGATATGGAGTATTTTCTCCGGCCGCATGATCATTTGACTAGAGGTATTTTGCGCACGGTGCTTGAAAGGAAACGACAAATTGCAACTAAGTATGGTTGAGAGTTAGAGAACCCGTGAAGTTCAAAATGTCGACATCATTTGACTGGAGAATCTTTCTCTTTATTATTATGTTTTTTATTTTTATTTTTATTTTATTTTCATGTTCATTTTTATTTTATTTTTATTTTTATTTTTTATTTTTATTAAGATTCTCTATATGTATCCTTGTTTCATTATCTATACATAGCTATGCTTGTTTCATTATCTATATATATATGCATGCTTGTTTCATTTTCTCTTTATCTTTTCTCTTTTTTCAAAATGAATCAAAACATTCGGAAAATAGTAATGGAAGTTAACGATGATAGTTCATCATCTGAGGATGAACTTATCAACAATAATTTGTTACCTGTAGTGTCTCGTACTGCACAACCGCTTCTTCAAAATAATGTTAGTTCAAGCAACATTCAAAGGAGAAACACAATCCACAGAGATCGTTTAGAGGCTGAACGACTGTTGGTCTGACATTGTTTTGCAGATGATTCAACATATGGTCACGCGCAATTCCGCAGAAGGTTTCATATGAGCAAAGGTTTGTTTATGCGACTTGTTGGTGACCTAGAGACGAATTATCCTTATTTTCAAACAACATGGGATGCAACAAATCAAAGAAGTTTCATTGCGCTGCAAAAATGCACATCAGCAATACGTCAATTAGCGAAGGGTTATAACCCAGACTCGTTAGATGAGTATCTAAATCTGTCAGAAAGAATTTCTCGTGAATCTCTTGAAAACTTTTGCTACGGTGTTATCCAAATGTATAAGCCTGAATATTTACGCCGTCCAACTGACATTCAACTTTTGTATGAAGCACATGAAGCTAGACATGGATTCCCTGGAATGCTTGGTAGCATTGACTGCACACATTGGAATTGGAGGAATTGTCCAATGGAATTGAGAGGCCAATACATGAGGGGTGACCATCAGTATCCATCAATGATACTAGAAGCGGTGACATCACAATATTTATGGTTTTGGCATGCATTCTATGGTGTAGCCGGGTCTAACAATGATTTAAACGTCCTCTACCAATCACCATTTTTTGATGAGAAATATCATGGAACATGACCCGATTGTTCATTTTATCTAAATGGTGAACACTACAAACATGGTTACTATCTTGCGGATGGAATATATCCATCATGGGTTGTATTTGTGCAGGCATATCTATATCCAATTACCGACAAAAAGATACGGTGCAAGGCGGCACAAGAATCAGCAAGAAAGGATGTAGAACGTGCTTTTGGGGTCCTTAAAGGACGTTGGGACATATTAAAGATGCATGCACGAGCTATGACGGTGAAGAAAACAAAAATATAATGTATGCTTGTATTATACTACACAATATGATATTGAAAGATGAGGGTGCTGCGATATGTCCTGTGTATCAGCCTGATCCCCCCACCGACGAAGTCGATGACTAAGAAATAATACCTGGATTGCGCAATGCTGAAACCCACCACCAACTTCGATCTGATCTTACTGATCACATTGAACATGTCTACATTCCAACTCTAGATAATAACTAGTTGATTTCAATTGTCGTTTTAGAATTGAAATTATGTTGTCTTTTTTTAAGTGTATTTTTGTAATTATCGTGTTTTATAATTGTCGTGTATTTTTTTTATTTGTAGTGTGGTTTTTAATTAAATGTTATTTTAAATATTATTTTAGAACTTTTTTTTAAATTAGCAAAAAAAAATCAAAAAAATGTTATGTTTTATTTTAATTTATATTTTCTAATTTACTTAAATAAAAAAGAATATTAAATGTTATTTTTAATATTATTTTAGAATTTTTTTAAATTAGAAAAAAGAATGATATGGAAAGTGGGTTAAGTGGGTTGGGAAAGATAGGATTTCCATATGGTGTGGGTTGCGAAAGATAGAAGAAAGAAAAGTAAAAAAGCTAATGTGGCAGTGGGTTCAGTGGGTTGGGAGGGAAGGACTCCCTCCTCCCTAATAGGGATGGTTAATTCATGGATTAAGTGATTCATTAAGAAATTCTCAAATAGATAGATCTAGATTAAGACTATGTGAGTAAAAACTAGGCTTGCAATTGAACCCGATAAATCCTTGACTAAAACATACACGAAATCCACAACCACCCAACAAGGTGGTGGTGGAAATTCGACAGCCATGGCTGCCGGTGGTGGAATCGACCAAAACTCAAACCAAGAAAAGAAAAACACCACACCAAAGCTATGAAATCTTACCCTAAAAGTTGAATGACTGGTTCACCAACCAAAAACGCAGCTCAAAGGAGACTTTGAAGGAACCCTAGCACCACCAAAATCCCGTCGAAGTACAACCCTCAACCAAAAAAACCGCCACAGCCCCTCCTCTCGCCCACGTTGTCTCTCTCGCTCGATATCTCCCTCATGTTCGTCCTTTTTTGTATCACGATGTTGTAGCAACCACGATTCCTTGGAGATGCTATAGATGAGTTCGTAACAGACAAACGAGAATAAGGAACGGTGAATTCCTCATCTCCCGTCGATCGCATGACCAAGGGGAGGTTATAAGAAATTTTTCAAAACAACCCCCACATATCCTTCATTTGATTAATCCCAAATATCCATAACTCTAGTAACTTGACATTCTAAGTTTCTTTTATTGTCAATTAAGCCCTTCTACTCTATTTATGCCCTTTTAATGAATTATATATAAGTTATTTACCACCAAAAGCATTCACTTAAATTTTATGCTTGTTCAGTATATGGATTAATTATTTTAGGTTTTAATTAACACCATTTTTATTTAATTTATTTCATTCTATACCCTTAGATTTGGAATAACTTTACAAAATTTAATATTCAAATAATAGAGAACTAACATCGTTAACAAAAGGATTTTTGGGTCGTTACAACTAGCATCTCTAATCTATTTTAATTTAATACAAGTTCTAAGGTATGTGATTTTATCAGCTCCCAAGGTTTTTGTGACAACCGGCAAGCTTCTGGTCAAGTCAAAGTCAAGTCAAGGTCAACAAGTCAATCTGGTCAACTCAACTAGTGTTTATATGTTAGGAATTTCTTTATGTTTACTAATGTATAACTATAAATCTTAATGCAAAGTAACACTTAAAAGTTTCAAATGTTCAAAATTTAAAACCCTAATCTGATTGAGGGAAGTAACAGCTCTATAAAAACACTATTAAGTGCCATTCGGGGGTGTATAGCACTCAAAATGGGATGTAACTAAGTCTACGGTCTTTGAACTACGAAGAAAAACATTAATAAAGGCTCCCGGCAAAGTCTCTCTCAATCTCTCCCACTGTATCTCTCTCTCTCTCCCAAGTCTCTCCCAAATCTCTCCAAGTGTGTGAAATCTCTCCCAAATCTTTCCAATATGTGAAATCTCTCCCAAATCTCTCCAAGTGTGTGAAATCTCTCCAAAATCTCTCCAAGTATGTGAAATCTCTCCCAAATCTCTCCAAGTGTGTGGAATCTCTCTCAAATCTCTCCAAGTATGTGAAATCTCTCCCAAATCTCTCCAAGTGGGTGAAATCTCTCCCAAATCTCTCCAAGTATGTGAAATCTCTCCCAAATCTCTCCAAGGGTGTGAAATCTCTCCCAAATCTCTCTATATACCTTCCTCAATCGAAAACAGGCCAAAACCGAAAGAGAAAACCCAAAAGGACCCTCTTGGTCCGGAACCCTCTTGGTACGGAACCCTCTCCCTACTTTGGAGCTTCTGATGGAATACGGAATGCCCATGTTTGTTTCGGAGCCTCGCACCGGAAGACCTGTTTTGCTTCGGAACTTTTTGTTTACACAGTAGTAATATTCTTTGTTTCTCTCTTCATCCTCGCACCGGAAGACCTGTTTTGCTTCGGAACCTCCTGGTCGGCTTCGCACCTCGGTCCGGACTGCTGGCTTCGCTCCGGAATTCGCATGGGCTTCGGATCCGAGAAAAATTCTTCGGAACTTGCCTGATTGACTCCGGATCCTTGAGAATGACTCCGGATTTTGGCTAGGAGGCTCCAGAACTCCTCTAAGTACTTCGGACCCTCGCAGGATCAAGCCTCCACTCCGGATTTTTGTCATTTTCCAAGTTTTTCACCATTTTAAGGCATTTTGACGTCGGAAATCACACCAAACTCATATTTTTCATATCTTAGACCCCTTAAACCCCTATTTTATGCCAAAATTAATTATTTTAAACATATCAACATAAAATAAAACCCAATATTTTTTTAAGGATTCTAAGTAGATAAGGAGGTTTGACTTTGTGATGTGATGAAAATCCTCCATTTTCCCATGCAAATCTTAGATAAACCCATATTACCCATTGGATAATAAGGTTATCCACCAGTCCTCCATGCAAATGTCAAGTCACCCCCCCCCCCCCCCGCCTTATCCTCCCATTTAGAAACGTGAACCTTCCTCCCCAAGTTCCACTTCTCATTCTTCACTTCCAGAAAACTCCTAAAGGTGCTCTACACTTATTCAAGCTTCAAGTCTCATCTCCTTCAAGAAAAATTCCAGATTTCTTTTTGTAAGTATTTTATCCTCTTTGAATAATAATTCTCCGCATTATTCCTAAGATTTCATTATATTTACACATAAAATTATTCTTAGAATATTCTAAAAGTTAAAGAACCTTCCACGTTTTGGAGCTTGGAAACTTCTTCACATCTCTTCAAGTCACCCAGCAAGCTAACCA